GGTGAGGGGAGGTCAGGCAAGAGAGCCCCAACTGTGGGAGGATGCAGTGCGCTGGGACAAAGACCCCTTAAGGGGACCTACACAGGGACCAGAGGGCATTGGATGGTTGGCAGGATGGTTGGCACAGGGCCTTCTTCTGCTCTCCTTGTCAGGAAGAAGCCAGAACTTTCCTTCCTTATAAAAATGTAAAACCAAGGTGGTGATGATAAAAACTGCACTCGTTGCTGAGGCACCTGGGGTAAAATGAGGTCCATGGGCTGCTTCCAGGGAAACATACCCGTTCTGATGTTCCATGGGGCAGAGAAGGGCAGGAGAAAGATAGGTGTGCTGACCAAGCTGGTAAGTCATGTCTCTGCATGTCTTTCTGCCCTGGGTGACCACCCAGGGCCCCATGAATTTGTACAGAGCAAATCTGCTCATCCTTATGGCAGCCTGGTTTCCTGCTCCAAGGACTTAGTTCCCATCCAACTGTTAAGTCCCTTTGCATATGTTTATTTGGTTTCTGAAAGCACAAGAGTTTCAGCAAGTCGGTAGGGTCATGGCCACAGTGAGAGGAACAAACAATGACTCAGGAACAGTATCATCCTCCAACCTTGGAAATCAGAGGAGACCCTGCTAACCTCTTAACTAAAATAGCACAAACTGAACAGGAAGCTCTTATGTCATTTATCTGGAAATAGGAGTTGTTACTATTATTCCTCTTTTATTATTCCTCTTTTCAGTCTAGTCATTAGATCAATCATTTACAGAGGGAATGTTCTGTTTTGTTTGTTTGTTTGTTTTAGTGACTTGTCTTCCTCACTAATCTCAACTAAGAACGCTTCAGAGATCCTGGCCTCAACCCCTCAGAATGACAAATGGGATCCAAAAAAAACCTTACTAGGAGGAAATCAGTTGGCCTTTCATAGCGCAATGTGAAAGGGGTTAGTAGATATAAATCTACAAGACTGTTGTAGTATGTCAACCTCTGACATAAAGTTTTACCTCTCTTCAGTAAATAAGTATATATACATAATTGGTAAATATACTTGGCAAAGCACATAACATGTTATTAGTGCTTTTCTTTACTCATTCATTTATTGATTCAATAGGGTAATTAACTATTACTGAGTACCTGTTATGTGCCAAACACCATGCTGGGTGCTGGTATTCAGGTGAACTGCGTAACCAAGGTACCTGCTGCCACCAAATAGCCTGGAGCAAAGCCACCCCACTCCACGGGGTCTGGAAAAATAGAGCCAATGTGTGAGTAAGCAAAGTGTGAGAAAGATCAAACCTCTTAGTGTATCTTTTGTTTTCCCACTTTTGATAGAGACATGGCCTCATTTTTTTTTATTGAAACAGAAAACAATAGGACACACGTGATGATGAACCTGCCTGAGAATTGAGCAGAAGGTAGGGACAGAGACAGAAATGCAAAGGGCTGAAATGCTGTCCCATTCAAAGAGGGCAGCATCACTGGCTCTACATGGGAAAGCCCGCCCCAGACTCCTGTTTCCAAAGGAAACCAGAACCCTTGATTTTTTGGTGAATTCTGTCAATCTTAAATATTCACTCTAATTTTTTTTAATTATTTAAGCTGAGCAAAATGTCTGCCAGCCCACTTTGATTGAAGCAGCCATTTTATGAAGCTAGTCTAGAGATTAATGAGCTAAAATCAACTGGTTATAATCATCTATTATGAAGCTGACATTTCCTGTTGTGACTGCAAAAATAAGCCTGCAACCTATCAGAATTCAGGGTCAAAATGAGTCAAGATATAAATCACAAATCAACACCAAGATGTCTGCCTCAGACACTGGGTATCTCGTTGCCATTACTATTGATTTCTGCCTAACGGCTTTTCTTATAAATTTCAAGGATAACTGAAGAAAGAATATCTAGAGTACAGTTTCTTTTCTAATCTTTGGCACCAGAATGCAGCTAACTGGAGCCTTTTACAAGGCCTGACGAGAAAATAGAAAGAAAAGTCTCAACCCTGAGTGGCAGCGTGCTGTTGATAAACATATTCAAACCAGCTGATTTTGATCTTTTATTTTAAGCAGCTAAAAACTATGAAAAGTAAAGGATTGCTGAAGTGCAAGCACATCTCTGAAGGAGTGGCTGGTACCTAAGTATGCACCTTCACTGCTTCCAAACGAGCTGGACAGACATCCTCTCCAACTGCTCTCGCTGTTCCTGGCTCCTTCCCCCTTGTTCTGACTCATGGATAGGACATGAGAAGTGATTGGGGACAGAAGTGACAGCTGTAGTTATGTGTTTAGATTTTTAAATAAAAATAAGTTTGGAAGGGTTCCTTTTAAACAAAAGAGGCTCCCATAGACATAGATACTGGCCCCAAAGCTTTCTTGCAGCTCACCCTTTGCTGCAAATATGCTACCTTCTACCCTCATCTCATGTATGATTTATACCTCACATCCTCAAAAAACAATTTGAGATAGCCTACAGGCAAAGGCATGCATATACCACAGAGCTGTGAAGTGATGGAAAAAAGAGGAAGTCAACTTCAGGTGGAGTTCCCAGTCTCTGTTCTTTTCTAACCACCTGGTGAATGGCCAGAACAATCTTCTTGCTCCATCCAGAGTTGCTTTAATCCTATGATTTTCCCAATCACCACTCAACACAAGATGCTTAATATGGTAATGGGTTTTAAAGTTCTCTCTGTCCTGGCTCTGCCTTTACTTATACTGCCTTGTCATCTCTTTGCCAGGTCAGCTTCCCCTGCCGCAGGCAGGTCTGATTACTCCTCACCCTGCCAAACTTCTAAAGTATTAAACTATCCATAAAGCCTTTTCCCTTCTCTTTCCTCAAGCTTACAATCAGTTCTTTTCCAGATTTACATTTTGCCTGTCACAGAGTGGGTTCTTTGGAGATAGACTCTAACATGCAAACTATTGAGATTCAACCTGTTGAGATGCAAAATGTTCCCTAGGGATGAACACTTGAGGAAGGAAGGGCAAGGACAAAGGACTAGCAGGGAGACAGTGCCATGGAATAGAGGTAGCTAGCTTGGCTAGCCTGGTGCAAATCTCTGGGGTGAACACCACCTCTCAGAGGTGTCCCAGCTGGGGGCTGGACTCTTATACCCCCACCTTGCTTAGTCATCAGATGCAGGCTGCCCTGGGAAGGGCATGACTTCCAGAAGGTGGTTCTTTGCAGCTGAGGCAGATCCTAAAAGAGTTGGTGGTTTGCGGCTGTCTGTTGATCACATTCCCTATAACTGGACAGCAAGTCCTTCTTAGAAAAGAGTTCTAGGCAGCACACCTCTATGTAAACCACAAAGCCCCAAGCTAATCATATGGAAATCCAATAACCCAAGAGCTCTAGCAGCCCTGTAGGTGGACAAAATAAGCCCAGTGTTCCCTAATGAATGCCTACACATCACTTCTTTCATTTTGGGCATCATGTTGTATATATGCTAAAAAGTGATCCTAATTATCTTATCTGGTTGGTTCCCTAGAACAGAGCTTCCCAATCAGAGATATGGAAAAAAGTAGGCCAAGATATTTATTTCTTAAGTCCTTGGAGCAAACAGGAAGACTTTGGTCAGGTGGCCTCCACAATGAGCAGGCTTTTCAACATATCCCATTGTATAGAATAAATATTATAATATCTAAAACTTTGAGACACACTGTTCTAGAGCCATTTATTCTTGGCCTTTCAGTCAGTCGCTGATCATATATTTATTGGATGTCTATTCTGCATCAGACACCAAGCTTACCATTGGAGATAGAGTGGGAAATGGGTCACATAAGGTCACTGTCATCCAGACACTTACATTCTAGTGGAAAAGAAAGATTGAACAAGTAAACACAGAAGCAGAAACATAATTAGAAATAGCGGTAAGTGTTATAGGAGAGAATAACAGGGAGGAGAGTAGGGAATGGAGACTGGCAGGCAGAGATCTTGCTGGGCCCTGGAAGGCATGGAATGGTGTTTACTTTTTATTCTAATAACAAAGGAAAGTCGTTGGGAGATTTTTAAGCAATATATATCATGACCTGATTTTCACAAGGATCCTAGCAGACCACCAGCGGTGGTGATGGGAAGACCATTTAAGAATGTGTTATAGCAATCCAGACTAGAGATGGCATGAAGGTTCACTGTGGATACAGACAGTGAAGATGGAGAAGAGTGGGAGGCTTCAAGACATATTTTTACACAAGAATCAATCCTTTCTCCCCTCAAGAAGTTCACACTCTTTTGGAAAGACAGATATGCAAATAATTTATTTAGAATAGCAAAATAATTACTAGAATGAAAATCAAAATATTACAAATAGAGCATAGTATGGAACGTGGAAGGCTACCTGGGGGAGCCAAAGTCCTCACAGTTGTGTTGAAGCGGGGGATTCAAACATTAGTAATGTGCTAAGTAAACTAACAGTGGGTGGTGCTTACAGCAGAGGTGGCGGTGCGTGTGGTGGCCATGATTACATGCTTCATAGACCTCCGCCTACAGGGGTCTTCACTGGCCAAGGACCAATTGCCATGTTTATACCACCCTGTCTGTACCTCTTCCACTGTGCTTATCACTTTATAAATAGAAATCTGTTTGCATAGCTGTTTTTCTCCCCAGATTTCAAGCTCCTGGAAGACAGTTGCTGCCTGGTTTATTGTGGCAGTAAATATATCTTGATGAGTAAATAAAAGGCTTCTCTAATGATTGCACCACTAAACACTGATCATGTCTTCACTTTTAAGCCCTTCTCATTTACTTCATATTGCGCAGTAATTTTAAAGGTATTACCTTCAGGTATGGTCTCTCCACTGGCTCCTTGAGGGTAAAACTCGTGTCCCCTTCTTTTGAGCCTTTTCACGGGCCACCATGTACTGATTTTCATACTCAAAGACTACCAAATGAAATAAACAAAAATGGATTATAATCATATGCAGTAGGCAGTTACTAACTAATGAACTTTTACCCCCTTGTTGGTTACCAGGATGATGAAGTGACTTTACCTGCTGCTGAAGGATTTCATCTGCTAATGCTTCCCCAACATGTCTGCTGAAAGTAATCAATCATCAGGAGATTCATCATCTCTTCACCCTTCTACCATTTCCCAACAATCCACACAGACCTTGTCTTCACAGGAAGAGGACGCTGAGGGAGAGGAGGAGAGTTCAAAGGAAGAATCTCCAATTTCTGAAGAGGAAGAGTATCTGGAGGAGGATGAGTACCTGGAGGAAGAAAAGTGTCTAAAAGGAAAAGAGTATCTGTATGAACAAGAGTATCTGAAGGAGAAAAAGGATCTACAGCAAGAAAAGAGTCTGAAAGAAAAAAATTATTTGTCTGAAGAAGAATATCTGGAACGGGGTAAGTATACGGAGGAGGGCCTCCCAAAAAAATGGTAGCTTTAGTTTACCACAGTGCCCAGGAAAAAAGAACAAACTTAAAACCTAGCCAAAGATCAAAATTATCAACCCTATTCATGGTGCTGGCAAGTAGGAAGACTCATGATTAACCAAGTTCTACTCACAGCTTCAATAGCCATGACCCAAAGCACCACGTCAACAGAGCAGAGAGGGAGACTTGATTCTTTTATGATGACATAAAACACCTGTTCATAAAAAACATAATTTATATCTTTTCCTCCTTGCACAATACATGTTCATTGTGGATGTTTGAAAAATTATATATAAGCAAAAATCACTACCATCCAGAAATGATCATTTCTCACTTTGCTTATATCCTTCCCAGACTTTATACACTGTTCATAGCCTTCTTTTTAAGATACATTTATTTATATACTTATAATTATATAAAAATATTACATACTTACATAAATATCATTTCATTTATTATCTATAAATCATTTAATGGCTGTATTGCATTGTATTGTATAATACAATTGTATAATGCAAACCATAACATTTTAATTGATCCCCTATTATTGACTATTCATTGCTTCTGATTTTTGTTACCTTTTTTAACAGCACTTTGAAAAACATCCTTATAGCTAAATTGTATCAATGACCTCTAATTATTTCCTACAATACATTCCCACAATCTGTTGCTAGGTCAACAGATACTAGTATGCTTCTCAGGGTGCCTATTTGGCCCCTGGAAGGCATCATCTTACCCTACTGGTGAGCATTTAACTTTGGAGTTATTCCTCTCATCCTACACTGACATTTTTCCAATACTTTTTCTGCAACTGGCAATTTCTGCTTAGCTTGGGTTTTGTTATTTGGCAGTAGTCTCCTCATGCTATTGTTAGATGTGGTTGATGTGCATTCACTCACAAGCCCACAAGGAGTCATCCCTTGATGTCATGACTGCAGGACCATATCCAACTAGTTACAGAGAGTTAAAAAGTCCAGATTATGGGCAGCATCTCAATGTTGAGCTGCAAGTGCAATAGAACTAAACTGTTTTTCTGGATCCAGTTCTGCTACCAACTACAAGCATCTCAGGCAGCTTGAATTTTAAATCACCATCTGATTACACACAACCTACATCCTAAAAGCTGGGTGTTCTCTGCAGCCACAGAGGCATTTCACCTTTATGTCCCTCTTCATCAAATCAGATATATTAGCCTTGATTCCTATGACCCTCATGGACATTTAATTGAGGCAGTGAAGAGATAATTTCTGTATTGCCAGGAAACCCTTTTTTCTCTGTGCCTTTACCATTAAGTACCTTCTCAGAATCCTAATACCCATGCTGATCAAGCACCAAGTGTAGTTCTGATACTGAAAAACAGCATTCAGGCCATTTCTTTTGCACAGTATGAGTCAAGCACTCTTGACATGCCCCCTTTATGCACTGGACCTTTGTAAATATATTACCCACTATAGTAAAACAAATACAGTGCTGTCAAGAATAGAACTGTGTATAAAGAAAGAGCTTTGAAAATAAGTGCCTTCCTAGGGAAAATTGAAGAGGCACTAAAAAAACTAGGGGAATGCTGAAGTGGCTTTAAAGGCACATGAAGAATGTCTTTATCTACAAAAACACATTATACAAGAGGTTTACAAAGAGATCTCAACTTTTTTAAAGAATATACATCAAAATTTCTTTTTTGAAATTTTCTTACTGCATTTTTTTTCATTACTATGTAGTCCCCTTATACTCCCCTCCCCCACCACAATCACCTTACTGTTGTCCATGAGTCCTTTTTCCTTTTTGCTAGGTCCCTCCACACTCCGACAACCCCACCTTAGATGTCATCCTGCTCTCTATCTATGAGTCTGTCTCTGTTTTGCCTCTAAGTTCAGTTTGTTCATTAGATTCCACATATGAGTGAAATTAGATGGCATTTCTCTTTCTCTGACTGGCTTATTTCACTTAGCATAATGTCCTCCAGGTCCACCCATACCATTGCAAAGGGTAAAACTTTCTTTTTTATGGCCAAGTAATATTCCATTGTGTAAATGTCCCATAGTTGTTTTATCCATTCAGATACTAATGAACTCTTGGACTGCATCCCTAACTTGGTGAAATAATACTGCAATAACATAGGGGTGCTCATGTTCTTTCGAATTAATGTTTCAGGTTCCTTTGGATATATTCCCAGAAGCGGGATCACGGGGTCAAAAGACAGATCCATTTTTAATTTTTTGAGGTATCTCCATACTGTGCTTTCCACAGTAGCTGCACCAATCTGCATAACCACCAACAGTGCAAAAAGGTCCCCATTTTTTCAGCACTGTTGTTTGTTGATTTATTGATGACAGTCATTCTGACAGGTGTGAAATGACATCTCCTTTGGATTTAATTTGCATTTCTCTGATGACTAGTGATGCTGAACATCTTTTCATATGTCTATTGGCCATCCATATGACTTCCATGGAAAAGTGTCTATTCAGGTCCTTTGCCCATTTTTCAATTGGGTTGTTTGTTTTGTTTTGTTTTTGGTGTTGAGTTTTGTAAGTTCTTTAAAAATGGTGGACATTAACTTTTCACAGGGGCGTCAACCTGTTGTCATCTCTGGGCCACACTGGAAGAAGAAGACTTGTCTTAGGCCACACATTAAACACATAAACACTAGCGAAAACAGATGAGCAAAAAAAGGTTTTAAGTAAATTTACAATTCTCTGTTGAGCTGCATTCATAGACATCCTGGGCTGAATAGAGCCCACAGGCCATATGTTGCACATGCCTGCATCAGATGTACCAGCAGTATATTCTCTCATTCAGTAGGTTCTCTTTTCATTTTGCTGATGTTTTCTTTTGCTAAGAAAAAAATTTTTAGTTTGATGTAATCCCATTTGTTTATTTTTTCCCTTGCCTAGGGAGAGATAACCATTAAAATATTGCTATGAGCAATGTCTGAGATTTTGATGCCTATGTATATTTTTTTATTTTTAAATAATGTTTATTCTATTACAGTTGTCTCAGTTAATCCCCCTTTATCGCCCTCCACCCATCCCACCCCCATCCCTAGCTCCCACAGTCAATTCCCACTCTGTTGTCCATGTCCATGGGTCATTCATACCTATTCTTTGTTTAGTCCCTTCTTCTTTCCACCATTGTCCTCCTTCCCCATCCCATCTGATCACTTTCAGTCTGCTCCATGTTTCTTTGCCTGTGGTTTATTTTGTTCATTAGTTTATTTTGTTGAATAGATTCGACATATAGGTGAGATCATATGGTATTTGTCTTTTACCAAAAAGCTTATTTCACTTAGCATAATATTCTCCAATTCCATCCAAGATGTCACAAAGGTAGGAGTTCCTTCTTTCTTTCTTTTTTTTTAAAATTACAGACTGATTTTTTAAATGTCAAGATCCATTATAAAATATAAAAAAATTTAAATCCATTATAAAGTCTCAGCAATTAAAACAACATGACACCAGCACAGAAATAATCAAGTACATCAATTAAATTTAATGAGCATTCTAGAAACAAACATATATATCTGTCTAACAATGTAATATATGATTAAGTTGATATTTCAAATCAATGGGGAAAATAAGGATTATTCAGCAAATAAGGTGCATGAGCTGTTATTACTTGAAATAAAACAAATAGAGAGCCCTATTTCACACATTAAACAAAAATAAATTCAGGTGTGTTAAAAATCGACATGTAAAATCTAAGGAGTTTTTGGAGAAAATTCAAAATAATATTTTTCTTACCCTGAAGTAACATATTCAAAGCCAGAAACTATAAAGTAAAATATTGACAATATGACTATATTAAACATTTAAGACTATATAGTAATATACATATAAAAAAGTTAAAGGACGAGTAATAGAATAGGAAAGTATTTGAAACACATCTAAAACATGATTAATAGTTTTTTTCATTTTTTTTAGGGAAAAAGTTCTATAAATATTTAATCAAAAAATGGATAAAGAATACCAAAAAGTCATTTAAAGCTTTTTAAAAGTAATAGAAATAGGCAAGAAATCTACAAAAACAGGTTTAGTTTCAAGAAATAATAAAGTAACAATTAAAATGACATATCGTTGTCACAATCAGATTAATAAGTATTAAAAATATTGGCAATATCAAGTCTTGGTGACTGGGAAAGGAACTGGGCATTCATAGACTCTTTTTCTTCATCTTCTTAAAGCAGTTCCTTTAGCATATTTTGCAATGCTGGTTTCATGGAGATGTATTCTTTTAGCCTTCTTTTGTCAGGGAAACACCTTAATTTGTCTTCTATTTTAATTGAGAGCCTTGCTGGGTAGAGCAGTCTTGGTTGCAGACCTTTGCTTTTCATGACTTGGAATATTTCTTGCCATTCCCTTCTGGCTTGTAGTCTTCCTGTTGAGAAGTCAGCTGCTAGCCATATGGGGCTCCATTATATGTTACTACTTGTTTCTCCCTTGCTTCATTTAGGATTCTCTGTCTCATATTTGGCATTTTAATGATGATGTGTCTTGGAGTGGGCCTCGTTGGGTTCCTCTGGAATGGGACCCTCTGTGCTTCCTGGACTTGTGTGACGTTTTCTCTTCTCCAATTAGGGAAGTTTTCCATCATTACTTTTTCAAACAGGTTCTCTATCCCTTCTTCATCCTCTTCTCCTTCTAATAGCCCTATTATATGGATATTATTATGTTTCAGGTTGTATTGCATTTCCCTAACTGCCTCCTCATTCTTTTTGAGTCTTTTTTCATTTTCTTGCTCTTTCTGGAAGCTTTTTTCTACCTTATCCTACAGGTCACTGATTCAATCCTCTGCTTCATCGAGCCTGCTTTTGATTCCTTCTACTGTGTTCTTCTATTCAGAAACTGTGTTCTTCATTTCCTCTTGCCTCTTATTGACAGTTTCTATGTCCTTTTTCATGCTGATATTGTTTGCAGTAAGTTCCTCATAGTTTCCCTGTAGTTTTTTGTAATTCTCAGTGAGCTCACTGAGCTCACTGAGCTCAATGAGCTTCCTTAGAACTGTTGTTTG